GGCGGTCATTCCAATAGCGGATATTTAGTTGACAGCTTTGTTAGCGGGGAGAGAGGACGTTGTATATACATGAAACGGGGTCGACTAAAGGGCAATTGCCCGCTGTTTATCGTCGGGGATTATATTACTGGGGTCTTGTCTACAGCGCACGTGCATTAAAGTCTTTCTCTTCTAGTCTGGATCTGGTGGGTTCAAATAAATCTTTATATTGTGTGAAATAGAGTAAGTAAGTAAGTAATACAGATCCAAATGGGTTGGTTTAGAGTATGTAGATAGAATAGGTTTTGAATTTAACGGGAAATTTTCTGGTCGCTACTTGAGGGTTTGTTTTAAAACGATCGCTATTAAATAAATCTGGATTTAAATGTAGGAATGGCTGGGAAGTTTGAGGCGGTATAATTCGGGCTATTTGCGTCTCGAAGATATCTGGAGTCAAATGTTTGAATTCACTGAGATATAGATCTTGAGACATTCGCTGTGGGTTTTGAATAAATCGGGTTTGTGGAGGTGTAATGTACAGAACATTCTCTGTGTAATATTTTAATTTATTGACATGTATAGTGTCACTGTCTCTATTGAGAGGTTGATTGTTGCGATCTATTCGAACGACATTGGGTGAGATTATTTCAATTATTGTGTATGGTCCAGTAAAATATAGTGCTAATTTGCCTGTGTCGGGATGTCTATAATTTTTGACATAAACAAGATCTGAAAAAAATAGTACAAATGTAATATTGTACTGGGATAAGGTGCATAAATTAAGAAAAAGGGCATCTACTTATCGTGCAACTGAAAGTTGCTGATGCTTGCGCCATTTATCGGAATAAATATCAACTAATCTCGTTGATTTTTAATTATTCCAGAATTGGCCAAATACACATTCTTGATTAATCAAGAAAAGCTAACCACGGACGCGTTTCGGGCTGTTGGCCCTTATCAGCGTGGTGCAAGCTGTACCTCAACGACCAAAAAAAAAATTGGTCATTAAGGCATCCTGAAAAATCATGAAACGGGTAGTTAAGGCCTGAATTGCGTGAGAGAACGCTACAAAATGTGAAAAAATAGTACAATTTTAATATTGTACTGGGATAAGGTGCATAAATTAAGAAAAAGGGCATCTACTTTTCGTGCAACTGAAAGTTGCTGATGGCTTGCGCCATCTATCGGAATAAATATCAACTAATCTCGTTGATTTTTAATTATTCCAGAATTGGCCAAATACCCATTCTTGATTAATCAAGAAAAGCTAACCACGGACACGTTTCGGGCTGTTGGCCCTCATCAGCGTGGTGCAAGCTGTACCTCAACGACCAAAAAAATTTATGCACCATATCCCAGTACAATATTACCTTTGTACTATTTTTTCACATCTGTAGCGTTCTCACGCAATTCTGGCCTTAACTACCCGTTTCATGATTTTTCAGGCTGCCTTAATGGCCAATTTTTTTTTTTGGTCGTTGAGGTACAGCTTTCACCACGCTGATGAGGGCCAACAGCCCGAAACGCGTCCGTGGTTAGCTTTTCTCGATTAATCAAGAATGGGTATTTGGCCAATTCTGAAATAATTAAAATCAACGAGATTAGTTGATATTTATTCCGATAGATGGCGCAAGCCATCAGCAACTTTCAGTTGCACGATAAGTAGATGCCCTTTTTCTTAATAAACAAGATCATTCGCTTCGAAATGTGGTGTTCTGTGCTGTTTATCAAATGTTTCTTCATCTTTTTTATGCTTATTTTGGGTACGAGAGCGAGCTATCTCTCTAGATCTAGTTATTTCGGGGTATGGGTTAAGATGAGTTCTTAGATCTGGGGGGACAACATTGAACATTAAGTAAGTGGGTGGAAAACTTGTGACAGAATGGTGTGTGTTATTATACGTTTGAGTGATGCGCTTAACTAGTTGAGTCCAGGAAGCTATTGGATTTTCTAGACAAGCTAGTCTGAGTTTGCCTGTAATGGTGGCATTTAAGCGTTCTATTAACCGTTTGCTTGTGGGTTATTGCTGGTGGTGAGTAGGGGTTGTATACCATGTGTTATTAGAAATTTACGGAATTTTTCCGAGGTAAAAGCGGGGCGCTCTGTCAGGTAACATACGTTTTGGAAAACCTTGTTGTAGTACAGTTCTGAGGGTTTGCATGTACGTTAGGGTACTGGTTTACTGGTTAAACTCCCTTTGAGAGTGGTGAAAGCTTGTTGGCAGTTTTATGATCTATTTGAAAAATGTAGTTTTCTCGCTGTTCTTAAGTGTTGTGTTTCGACATTGTTGCGGACTTAGTAAAAATGTTATTCAATGATGTCAGGTTTAGATGTGAGTAAAAGTGCGACTTTCGAGTTGGACACGCTTTGGGGGAGGTGTGTCACAGGCATGAAGGGGTCTTTGTGGCTTGTTTGTGAGAAAAATTGTTGTGATGCGCTGTGTGACACGAGTGAGTGAATTGAATGGAAAGGTGTCACGTGAAGTCGTTGGTTTTGGTACAGCATCTAACTTGTTTCACCATGAACAGCAAATTTACTAGTCATGGGTGGTGGTTGTACAAAACACATCGAGATATTTTGACTGTTAGTGGAAGTGGCACGTTTAGTGGCGACGATATGGAGCTTGTGTGGCTCGAGATTGATTTGTTGTTAAGTCGCGCGCTAATAGATGATGGCCAATTGGAGAAAGTGATGGGCGAGTGTGTTGAAGTTTGTTGAGAGAAATGTGTGGATGATTAATAATTATGCATGTAGAAGGAAAGGACGAGGGAGTGAAACTATGTTGGATTTTTAACTTGTTTTTGGGAAGGACAGTTACTTTTCTAGTTGTGATTTTGAAGATATTGTATCTTTCGATTTTTGCAATTAAAAAAAAATGCGTTTTCACCTATGTTTATTAAAATTTGAATATATATATATTTAAATTGTTGATTATGGTAGTGCGAAAATTATGTTTGTAAAAAGGGGAATGGCGTGCTAGTGACTTATAATTTGGATGGGGGGTTTACATAAAATAGTGAACTTAACAATGATTTTGCAAAGTTTTGCGTATTGAATTAAGAAATTGGTGTTTTGGTATAAAAATAAGATAATAAAAAAAAACCACAAATATGTTTAGAATTATGATTCGAGTTATTAAAAAATAATGATTTTTTTTGTGTAAAATTGAAAGTAATGAATTAAAATTTATAAGTTGCTTAAATGAAGTAAAAATTGATAAATGAGGTTGTAGAAGATTTAAAAAAATGAATTGAAATGATATAAAAATGGTAAAAATTGATTTAAAATGATTACAGTGAAAATACACATTAAATATATAGAGAATCAAGTTGTGAGCATGAGGAGAGAGTTAGGTAGATTTTTTAAAAACTCACAATTTTTATGATTGTTCACTCAGGAGACTTGGTCTTTGGTTGTTGTCCTGCTGATGTGGAAGACGTCCCAAGTATGGCTTGTAGAAGCTTTTAACTTCTGTTTGGTGACGGCGGCATGTTGCCTGGATGGTGGTTGCGTTGTAAGGCCGAAGGTGGGGAACTTCTCACCAGCTTATTTTGCGGAATCTTCGGCTGTGTCGTTGGGGGGAAGATTGCTTGGTCGCTTCGTTGGAATGGGGGGTTTGTTCCTCCATCTTTGCTCTTTGTCGCTTCTATCTGGACAGGCTTCTTACCTTCTTCGTTGTGGTCATCCTGACGACTCTGGTTGTGATAAGATCCTGTAGACTCTTCTGTGATGAGGTCCTGTCGACTTATCTGTGATGAGTTATCCTGTCGACTCTCGCTATAAGCTGTGGTAACCGAGGGTACTTCTCTGCACCTTGTAGGACCTTTAACAGTTCTCACAGAGTACAGGCAGTCGTGTGGTCGAGGCAGAGTGGAAAGCTTGGGAATGTCCACACACAAAAAACGAAGAGACACAGTTGTAGTAGGAAATTTCCGTGAACAGATAGAAGCCGAGCTAAGAGTAAGATGGAGAAAGAAGGTTTTCTTACTGTTTTACATGGTCGATGAGGTGGACCTGGCTGCAACCAACAAGGGCTCATGCCGACGGTGAAGTGACTGTGTAACATTTCGGCTAGGGCAGATGTTTTATATCTTTGCCGAGGGTGGGGGTGGGGGGGAGACATGTGAGAATTTGGATTTTGAACGTCTGCGGCATTCTGCACCTTTGACCTTGATGGCAACGGGCTGCCAAATTTCTTTTAAGGTTGATTTATATTTCTCTCTCGATCTCTTGCCTAGCTCATCTCTTAATCTATTACATGGTTTTATTTATTCATCCTCAGTTTGTACAAAGTACATTACATATGGTGATGCAATGACACATGTCAATCATGCGTATAATTATTTATAGATGTGTTTCTATATACAACATGACAATCTTGTTATAAGTATTATACAATACTAGACGAATGGCCCGGGCAACGCCCGGGTTTTACCCGAGTGCGTATATATTTTAAAAACGTTTTAATTCAAATACTATTCGTTACAATTATAAATTGGCGCCATGGATGTCACTCTTGTGAAACGTCCCGTTCCAAACTGTGTGTTTTTAAAATGTTTTAATTAAAATACTATTCGTTACAATTATAAATTGGCGCCGTGGATGTCTCTCTTGTGAAACGTCCCGCCCCAAACTGTGTGTGTCTTGAAAATATAAAAATAAAATGTGAATTTTCATAAAGATTTCATCATGTCGATTTTTTTTATATAAAAAAGATTAAATAATTGTGCAAAAACGGTATATACGATATATAAACATCAAAAGAAATAATGAGCCTATCGTTCAAATATAAAATTCGAATGAATATAAATGAGATACTAAAAAATTAAATACCTATTTAATGAATATCATATTTTATTTTTATAAAGGCACTTATATATAATTAAATACTTATATATAATATAATTTATATAAAATATATAAATATATATATATATAATATATAATATATAAAGGTTACCGATTTAAAAGTCTATTTTATAATTTTATATTGTAAAAGAAACATATTTTCATTTAAGTATTGTACTTGTGGCCTAGTGGTCATGGCATCTGCCCGGTAAGTGGAAGGTCGTGGGTTTGATTCCCCATCCCTTGACACTTTTTTTATTTTATCCATTCTGACCAAAATCTATCCGTGAACTTCACACAGTGAACTTCACACAGACAGAATAAGGCAATTATATAAGTAGATAATATATAATAAATAAATAATTATCATTAGATAATGATAATGATCATAATGATGATGCGCGCGTTGATGACCAAAATCTATCCGTGAACTTCAGACAGGGAACTTCACACAGACAAAATAAGGCAATTATATAAGTAGATAATAATAATTATTATTATTATTATCATTAGATAATGATAATGATCATATGATGATGCGCGCGTTGATGACCAAAATCTATCCGTGAACTTCAGACAGTGAACTTCACACAGACAGAATAAGGCAATTATATAAGTAGATAATAATAATAATTATTATTATTATTATCATTAGATAATGATAATGATCATAATGATGATGCGCGCGTTGATGACCAAAATCTATCCGTGAACTTCAGACAGTGAACTTCACACAGACAGAATAAGGCAATTATATAAGTAGATAGGGTTGTTGGTTTAAATTACCATATATATATATTAGTTTATAACAAATGGGATGTCCTCGTAACTACAAAAATAAGTGAGTACAAAAACAACTTGGGATCTTTAAATAGAAACATCGTATTTTTGCTAAGCCTATCAATTTGGTAGCAGAGCGTGGTTTGGAGCGCGCGAATTGGACTAACCGCCAATTGATCCATTTAAATCAAAAGAAATTAAATAATGGACTAACCGACAAGTTAGAAAGAAAAATTGAATGAAAATGGTTACATGTGATATCTTGGGACTCTGGGACCAG